TTTGTTTTTTGAGACAGTTTCTCTATGTAGTCTTGGCTGTAGACCAGGCCGAGAGATCTTGAACTCTGAGATCTGCCTGCCTCTGCCTCCAGAGTGCTGGGATTAAAGGTGTGTGCCACCATACCCACCTTGTTTGGTTTGTTTGTTTGTTTGTTTGTTTGTTTGAGACAGGGTCTCTTGCTGGGACCTAGACTTAGCTAGTCTGGCTGTCTGTCCAGCAATCCCCAGAGATCTGCCTGTCCCTTCCTTCCAGCACTGGGATTACATCAAGCCCTTGACACCACTTCAGGCTTCCTCTGCAGAGTTGAACTCAAATCTGTATGGTTGTGGAACAGGTGTTTTACCAGTGCAGCCTCCCGAACCCACTCTAGGTTTTCTTCTGCTGGTTAACATTGTGAGGCTGAGACTGGAGTTAGGGCACACTCTCTTAATCCCAGCACTTGGGAGGCAGAGGCAGGCAGATCTCTGTGAGTTCAAGGCCAGCCTGGTCTACAGAGTGAGTTCCAGGACAGCCATGGTTGTTTCACAGAGAAATCTTGTCTTGAAAAACTTAAAAAAAAAAAAAAATGAGGTTTTCACTCATACGCCCTTCAACGGTCATTCATGACCCCTTCCAATGGATATGGGTGGCCTCTGTCCCTGACTGTCTCTCTAGCAGGATTGGTAAAACCTAAAGAAGGAAGAGGCCAGCTGGGCCTCAGCCAACAGCCTGAATGCTGTCAGCCGGCTGGACTTCCTCTCAGCTCTCAGTTCCCTAGCAGGGTTCTGGGGTGGCTCCAACTGGACACAGATCAGAAAGGCCTGGCCTTAATGGCAGGCAAAATGTTTACTGCTGCTATCCAAGCTTTCTCTTAACTGTTCCTTCATCTAGAACCAGTCCCCCACAACCCCATGAAAAATTGGAGGCCAGGGGCTTACAAAGAGCCAGGAACCCCTCTTCAGACAGGGAATATGGAGGCTGGAGTGTGTGCCCCACCAGGGCAGTGGAGATCTATGTGGTTTTCCTCTCCTCTCTTTCTCCCTCCCAGAACCTCTTGAGACAAGATTGTTTTGTTATCTAATCTGCCCTTGAGCTTGCAGTGATTTTCCTGCTTCAGCTTCCTGAGTGCTTAGATGACAGAGGACAGACTGGCCTCCTGTGCTTTACATCATACTCAGCCCCTCAGCTGATTCTCTACATACAGTGAGGTGGCTGGAGCCAGGCCTGGGAAGTATGACAGGGTTCCAGAAACATCACACTGTGAAGACACAAGTGGAGAACCACTGTGCCACAGCTAGCGGCTGTCCCGGAGCCACACGCAGGCTGTGAGCAACTATCACAGGACGCAGAAGGCCTAGCCCTCAGCATCTGGACCTCATGTACAGCTGGCAATGTGTGCACACCTGCTGTGTTAGCTACTTTTCTGTTGCTGGGATAAAACACCAAGACCAAGGCAACTCATGGAAGAAAGTTTATTTGGGCTTACAGTTCCAGAGGGTTAGCCTCTCCCATGGGGGAGCAGCGTGGCAAGCCAAGCGCATGGTGGCAGGAGCAGAAGCCGCGCACTCACATAGTGAATCACAAGCATGAAGCAGAGAGAGTGAACTAAAAATGGAAGCCTGATCAGAAGGAAAAGAAAAAAGGATCTGGAAAGGTGGCTCAGGGGTTGAGAGCTCTTGCTGTTCTCACACAGGTCCTGAGTTCTATTGCCAAATAGTTTCAGTGGATCCAGTGCCCTCTTCTGGCCATGCTGGGAAGTGCACCCACATGGGGCACATAGATACACAATAGACTAACACATACACATGAAATAAAACTAAATACACCTTATTTGTACACACAAATAAAAACAGTTTAAAAATTAAAATCTAAAATAAGTTCATGTAGTGATGCACATCTTCAATCCAGCACTCGGGAGGCAGAGGCAGGCAGATCTCTGTGAGTTCAAGGCCAGCCTGGTCTACAGAGTGAGTTCCAGGACAGCTAGGGCTACAGAGAGAAACCCTGTCTGTTAAAACCAAAATCAACAACAACAAAAACTAAAAAAAAAAAAAGAAAAAGAAATTAAACATTCTTATAAAAGTTAAAGATAAAAGCAGCCAAACAAAACAACAAATATATATTTTACAGATATATTTCAGGAGATTGAGGGGGCTGGGAGAGCCAGAGAGCTGCCACCCCACCCCAGAGCATATGATATGCAAGTGGAAAGCCTTCCTATGGGCTGGGCTGCCTCCTGACATTCTGCTTCCAGTCAGCTCCTTAAAGAGTCCTCCCCAGGTGGACAAGTCAAAAGACCTGCCTGTGCTCTCTCATCTGTAGCCAGAGTTCCAGACAGATCCTGGTCTGGGTAGATGGTGCCTGGGAGTTTCCTTCCTTCCTGTCCCAGACTCATGGCTGCTGACTCTCCAAGGGCTTCAGGTCTCATTACTCCAGCTTCTTTCTCTGCCTTTACCTGGATTCTGCAGGGCATCTCTTTTGTCAGTTACAGAGACCTAGTCAGGGGCTGGGGGAGTGAGTGGCGTGTGTGTGTGTGTGTGTGTGTGTGTGTGTGTGTGTGTGTGTGTGTCCTGCTAGAATTCCTCCAGTAAGGGGACTGAGGACTCAGTGGCTAGGCTGTTGGCTAGCATGTGAGTGTGTGGATTCCATCTCCAGCACAGAGAGAAAGAAAGGAGGGAGGGAAGGAAGGAAGAAAAGAAAACCCTGAGTTTTAGCAGAAGAAAGAACAAAGGAGAGAGAGAGAAAAAAAATCCTGAGTTTTAGCCAGGTGATGGTGACCCACACTTTTAATCAATCTCATGCAGGGGACCTCTGTGAATTCAATGTCAGCCTGGTCTACAGAGAGTTCCAGGACAGTCAGGGCTACATAGAAAAACTCTGTGTTGAAAAACAAAAACCGTGAAATCCTAAGTTTTAAATACACAACAGATAGTTCTCAATATATGTAAGTGAAAAGTTTCTACACCCCTTAAGCCTCTCCACCAATGCAGCTACCCAAATCAGACCGAATCAATGCAGATTAGAAAAGCCCACTTTTAACGGATACAGCATTCCCAAATGGCTTTCTAACACCCCAGAAAGATGGGAAAGAGACACAAAAAAAAAAAAAAAAAAGTCTGTTTTCTAGAGGACAGTTTTAACATCCTGTGGAAGTGGCCCTGAGCATTTCTGGGGAAGGGGGTCATCATTTGTGGGGCTTTCTGAGATATCAGCAGGGTTTGCAGGGACTGGGTAAAAAAGACCCTAAAAAAAAAAAATCTAAGATTTAAAATAATGTCATGCAAATTTTATGGATTGGCTTGTGCTTATTTTCTTTTTTATTTCTTTTAATTTTATGTGTACAGGTGTTTTGCCTTGCTTGTTTGTGCACTAGTGTGCCTGGTGTCTGAGGAGGCCAGAAGTAGGCATGAGATCCCCTGGAACTGGATGGAGTTGCAGATGTCTGTAGGCCACCATGTGGGTGCGGGAGATAAAACCTGCGTCTTCTGGAAGAGCAGTCAGCACTTTATTAAACAGCTGAACCATTTCTCCAGCCCCCTTTCCCTTTTCTTAAGTGTGTACTTTTTGTTTCTGTTTGATTTGATTTTTATTTTTGACAGGGTCTTGTGTAGCTCAGGGTGGCTGGCCTCAAACTGTGTAGCCAAAACCCCCTGAACTCCTTATTCTTCTGGCTTCTATCCAGGTGCTGGAATGACAGGTATGCACCAGCATTCTTAACGGCTTTCCACACTTTTATCTGCTAATCCAGGCCGCTCTAGAAGCTGGTCTTGGCTAGAGGACAGAGTCAGGCGAAAGGACTTCAGGAGGCTACAGGTCTTGTTGGGTTAGGGAGGTCTCTCAACAGCCGGCCTGGGAGGGGTCTGAGCTTCACTGTCTAAACACAGGCTCAGGCTTCCTGGACAACCTGAGGCCAGAAGAAGCAGGGGGTTCGGAATTCCGCCCCCACCCCCGCCGCCCCGCTTTGTTTGTTTTGACCCTAGGGGCCCTTTGATGCCAGCTGGCAGCTCCCCTACCCTGGCCCTCTTCTGCACGTAGCTTGGCCTCTCCATGAAGGCTTTGGGGATTCTGGGCAGTTCAGAGGCTCCCAAGCCTCTGAGAGGCAGCTGTATGTAAGTGGGTCATGAGGCCCGAAGTGATTTACCACGGAGTCCTGGCCCCTCTGACGCCAGGCTTTGTCCTACTCCTGCACTTGCCCCTCACCCCGGCTCATGGCTATGTCCTTCCTAGACATTCTCGAAGCTCCTGGCATGGATGCTCACCCCTGAGGCTGCTGACAAACCCCTGGTTACTCCTACCTCCCACTTTTACTTTTGGTGGAGAACTGGGTCTATGTTGCTTAGCTGATCTTAAACCGCAATATAAGCGCCACCACTGCCAGGCAATTTTGTTTTGTTTTTAATGAAAAGAAGAGTCTAGCGTGGTGGTGCACGCCTTTAATCCTAGCACTCAGGAGGTAGAGGAAGGTGGATGTGTGTTAGTTCGAGGCCAGCCTGGTCTACAAAGCGAGTTCCAGAATGGCCAAGACCATGTGCAGAGACTCTGTCTCAAAAACAAAAACATAAAAAGGAAAAAAGCCGGGAGGTGATGGCACACGCCTTTAATCCCAGCACTCAGAAAGCAGAGGCAAATCTCTGTAAGTTCGGGGCCAGCTTGGTCTACAGAGCAAGTTCCAGGGCAACCTCCAAAGCTACACAGAGAAGCCCTGTATCGAAACCGCCCCCTCAAAAAAAAAAAAAAAAAAAAAAAACCAAAGAGGGGGACTTGAATCCACCAGGGGAGGTTCAGGATCCAGGTCTCAGCGCGTCGTGGGTGTGGCCTTGTGGTCACGTGCCAGCGCTCCCCCCCCCCACTCCACCTTTATGCCCCCTCTCCCCCACCCCACCCCCAGCTTCCACTGCGCGAACTCGAGCGTAGGACGCTGGGTACGTGCCTACTCGTTGTGCGCCAGACGCCCCTCCCCGCGACGCCGCGTACGTGCGAGCGTGCGTGCTTGCGCGCATGCGTGCGCCCCGCCCTCCCTCCCTTCTTATAGAGCCGCAGCGGGGCCGCGCTTGGACGAGGCGACATGGCGGCGGCGCTGCTGCTGGCCTTCGGCTTCGCGCTTCTGTGTGGCCAAGGCGCCTACGCAGCGGGTAAGGCCTGGGGCTGCGGGCACGGACCTAGGCTGAGCCCCAGACTTGGGGGACTCAGTGGTGTAGGGAGCCACAGCTTTGGTTCCTTACTAGAGGGGGAGGAATAACTGGCCGTGGGTGACCCTCGAGTTGACCCCTGACCTGGGTTGGGCGACAAGGGAGGGAGGTGATTTCGGGGGTGCGGCCCTGGCGAGAGAAATAAAAGGTTAGGGGTCTGCGGGGCTCTGGAGAGGTACTCTAAGGTTGGGGGAGCCGGGGATAGAGGGAGCCGTCACCTTGCGGTAGTCCCCACCTGGGCATGGGCTGGGAGGTAATCCAGAGGATTTGGGATATAGAAGTAAGCGGAAATGATCCCAGGTTTGGCATAGCAGGGGATGGAGGGAGCCGCTGCCTTACTGCCCCTACTCCTGGAACTGGGAGGTGACCCTGGGGTTTTGGGCTACAGTTGCGACTATATTTGGCCTCAGTTTGGGGGCGTTGGGAAAGGTGTGGGTGGAGGTGACCCTGAGGCTGGGGCACAGTAAGGCCCTGGGACAACACTTCTGAGGTTGAATATCATGGACGAGCTACTACTGTGTCGTTAACACTTGGATATCAGGGCTGGGAGGTGACCCTGGAGATTGGCCGCCTCCTGGTTTACGGATGGAGTGGGGGCAGGAGGATAGAAAGGAGTTCCCCATCTGAAAGACAGGTCTTCCAAGTAGTCATGGGCAGGAGTGAATGAGTTGCAGGACATCTGGGAGAGGTTTGTGGCATTTTGGGGTAAGGGACAGCAGTACTGCAGGTAGCTTCCTTCAGATTTGGGGAGAACTGCGAGCTGAGGAGGCTGCCACTGTAGAGGGGGGTCCCTGCCTAGGGAACATGTCAGGAAATAACTCCAAGGTGTCCCTGTTCAAGGAACAGGGTAAGAATGACAAAAAAATCCCTAATTTGGGGAGGGTATGAATGGATGAGAGGCAGCCTCTTCTGAAAGGTTTGGGGGAACTGGGCGACTAGAGTGGAAGGAGCTACCATTTCAGTGTATCTAAACTTGGGGGACCAGGCAGGGAGACAGTCCAGGAGATGTTGGGTACAGGAGTACCTGGAAGTGATGTCTCCAAGATTGGGCATGAGGGTGGCAGTGAGGTGACTGGGAATTGGGGGACGTGTCCTTGAGGTTGTGATAATGGAAACCAAACCACAAATAATTTGGTCTCTCCACCCAGAGAAAAAGGTTGGGAGACAACTTGGTGGGTGGGTCAGGGGCAATGGTCCTGATGCAGGGCATGGGGTGGAAGAAGGTGCCACATGTATGTTTCGACGTAGTGAGTGGAGGGCTACAGCACTGCTTGGGGAGCCTGGAAGAATGAGAGTAAGTTGGCCATGGGATGGAGAATAGCTTTGGAAGATGTGAGTTAAGTTTAAAGGTTCCCTAGGTATGGTGTATCCCAGTCTTGGAGTCCTGGGGTTGAGTAGAGTCTGTTATGCTGGTGTTGTTATCCGGAGGTTGGGTGGGGAGATCTGGGAGTGGCAGTTCCTTTCCCTAAGTTTGGAAGAATCTCAACTAGATCATCAGGTGTCCCCAGCTGTCTTTATCCTCGTTGGAGTGACCTCCCAGGCTTGCCGTAGTCCACAGGGGCTATATTGGTCATCCCTGGTTCTTGACAATGGCCAGTGTCCCTGACCCTGGGAGAAGGAGATGGAGGTCCCCTCTGGGCTGGAATCAAAACTCTAGGGTGCTCAGCTGATCTAGGACTCCTTGAGTCACGGTCCCAGGGACTTGTTGGATTATCATTCTTCATGAGATTTCTGGTGGCTCAGCTTGCCCCCACCCTGGAGTCTGGCTCATTTGAGCTTTAGGTTTTTGCCTGATTGGGGTTCAAAAGAGAAACTGAGGCCAAGGTGGGGAAGACTGGTATTCAAGGTCATGGCAAGGTTGAGTAGAGAAGGCAGTGTAGCAAGCAGGCCTGGGCTGCTCTCTTGCCTACTCCAGACAGAGCAGGCAAAGGGCAGAACCAGCTGTACTGGAGAAGTGGGGTACATGGCTGCCACCCCCATCCACAGTTGAGTTGGGAGGGGCCTGTGCCTGGCAACAGTGTCCTGGGTTAATCCTGACCCACTTTTTCCTAGTCCCTCTTCCTCATCAAAACATCTTGAGATTCCCCCATGAGGCTGGCTCTTGGGTATAGATAGCTGCCCCCGGCAAGGTGGATACAGCTGATAAACTGCTTTGTACAGGCTGCAGTTCCCCACCCTGCCTGGGCACAGGCCCAGTGGCTTCCTGCCTGGGGTTAAGTAGACCTTTGCAATGCCAGGGAGCCAAGCACAAAGTATAGCTTGCAGGCAGGTCCCAACCCTTCCTGGGAACAGCCCAAGAGCCAAACAGCCTGGGCAGGTCCCAGGTCAGCCTGCAACGTTCTGTTTTCACTGTGCTCTGACATTCCTGTTTTGTCTTTCTGGTTGTGTGAGGCTGGGGTTTGACACTAGGGTCTCTTACAGGCTGGTGTGAGCATTCCACACCCCAGTTGCACACAACCTAGAGTGCACTTGGCTTTCCCAGTGGTCACACAGCCTGGGATAGGTGCTGAGTAGTAGGAGGGTGTGGGTTACCCTTCAGAGCTGCGGTGCCTCCCCCCTGCCCCCCCTCCTGCACCCTGTGGTGCTGGCTTGTTTACCCATGGCCCAGTCTGGCCCTGCTCCCACCTGGCTATGAGTGGGCAGGGAGGAGAGGGCGCTGTTTTTAGATGGAGGTGACAGCTTGAAGCTGTGGGCTGCAGGTCATGTGACCAGACTCCAGCTTGATTTCTCAAAGGCCCTTGATTGGGATCAGGGTTATAGGTCACCTTAGTCACCCTACCTGGAGGGCTACACCCCAGTAGTATCTAGGCACTCTGTGGGGAGGTCGGTGACAGATGCCAAGGAGTACCACAGGGTACCTTACATGCCTGAGACTAGATCATGGTCCACCTAGCAGGTTCTAATGGCCTGGCATGTGGCCATTCAGCTCCCAGACCCTGGAACATGACATCCATGCCCCAGATGGATGGTACCCATGATGTCTCTTTGGAAACCCAGCTGGGGGCACCCGCCTTTCCTGACTGTTAGCCCTAGGTGAAGTAGTGTTGGTACAGACATCCTGGAGCAGTGGGCAGAGAAGGGGAACCAAAGGAAAGGGCCAGACTGGTCTCTCCTGCTCTGACATGCCATACCCACTCACCTGGAGCTGCAGGTTGGCTGGTCTGGGAGATCTCAGCTCCAGAATGTAGGTTATTAGGAAGCCATATCCACCAAAACTGCTGTGTTGTCCCTTCCCCAGGGGCCTTGGGGCCACCTAGATGGCAGGTGCCTATCTTAGTCCCCGCCCCACAATACAGGGCCTCAGGACCCAAACCCTTATCCTTGTACCTTCACACACATTCACCTCTTGTAGGCATGCAAGGACCTGCCTTCCCCCAAGGACATGTGTTTGAGGCAATCATACAGGTCTGAGTGTCCTGGGTCCTGATATAATGCTGAAGGACCCTATCTTTTTCATTTTGGAGACAACGTGAACTATATAGTACTCCTGCCTACACCTCCCAAGTAACACCTGGCTCCTGTTCTATTTTTCTTGTGTGTGTGTGTGTGTGTGTGTGTGTGTGTATGTGTGTGTGTGTGTGTGTGTGAGAGAGAGAGAGAGAGAGAGAGAGAGATCAGAACCACCTTTTCCCGGCCCTTTGTGTTTTGTTTTTTCCACCTAATTTCCTGCTTCTCCCATGAGCAGAAAAGAGATGGAGTGTGTTGTGTTTGCTCCAAATGGGCCCCCTAGTGGTTGTCCTTCCTGACAGTCTTCCCTCTCTCGAAGTAACGGGCACTAACCTCTCCCATAGCTGGCTTCCTCAAGGCGCCACTGTCCCAGGAGCAGTGGGCGGGGGGCAGCGTGGTCCTGCACTGTGAGGCTGTGGGCAGCCCCATCCCTGAGATCCAGTGGTGGTTTGAAGGCAATGACCCAAACGACAGCTGCTCCCAGCTCTGGGACGGTGCCTGGCTGGACCGAGTTCACATCCATGCCACCTACCGCCAGCATGCGGCCAGCACACTGTCTGTGGATGGGCTCGCCGTAGAGGACACAGGCACCTACGAGTGCCGGGCCAGCAGTGACCCTGATCGCAACCACCTGACCCGACCACCCAGGGTCAAGTGGGTCCGTGCCCAAGCAAGCGTGGTGGTCCTTGAACGTGAGTGGCCAGAGCACCTGTTCTCTGTTCACCTCTTGTGCCACCCAACCCTGGCTCCCACTTGGTAGAACCAGATGCAGCAGTACCCTACTACCCATTACCTACCTGGGGATGTGCGTAGGCTAGACACTCCTCCATTTCACCTTGCTGGATGCAGGCTGGCCCTGCTCTCCTGCAGGTGGGTCCTCTGCTCATATCCTGTTGTTTTCCACCCTGACCTTCTATCCTGTTCTCTGTGCTTCTGCCCTCCTAGATCTTGGCCTCCCCTATGTGTTTGTCTGGTTGGGGTGGGGTCTGCTGCCCAAGTGTCCACTCTGTCTACTAGAAGCCTGAGAGGTCCATCCAGGTGGCAGGCTACCCAGATCTTCTGGGGCTTAGTTTCCAGTTCTGACTGAAGACAATGTGAGACACCCACATGGTTTTGCTAAGTGGAGCATTGGGCCTGGTGCTCCCCGTGAAACGCATGGCTGTGAGAGCGGCAGACTGGGCTTGGGCAGCCAAATGTCTTACCTTGGAAATGGATTTCTAGTGGGATATTAGCTTGCCTTAGAAGTTCGGGGCTAGAAGTGTCAGCCACTGCGATTCCAAAAGTAGCCCTCATTGGGGGTATGGGCAGTGTAGGGCTGAGCCCCTTAGACCCTGAGCTGACTCTGTTCCTGTGGCCTCTCAGCGGGCACCATCGTAACCTCCATCCGCGATGTCGACTCCAAGACACACCTTACCTGCTCTTTGAACAGCAGTGGCGTCGACATTGTTGGCCACCGCTGGATGAGAGGTGGCAAGGTACTGCAGGAGGACAAGCTGCCTGACCTGCAGATGCAGTACACGTGAGTCAGTCCATGTTTCTTAGAATGCCATCCCACACCTGCATGGGAAGGTGGCCACAACGACTTGCAACCTTACCACTCTGTCTCCTGCAGGGTGGACATGAATGACCGCTCTGGGGACTATGCCTGCATCTTCCTTCCTGAGCCTGTGGGCAGGGGCGACATCCATGTGGAGGGTAAGCTGGGTAGCCAGGATGTGGCTGTGTGTGGGCCAGGAACAATTTGCGGGCTTGGGCACCAGACTTTCCCTTCATCCTCCCAGGGCCACCCAGGATCAAGGTCGGGAAGAAGTCAGAGCATTCCAGTGAGGGAGAAAATGTGAGGCTGGTCTGCAAGTCTGATTCATCCCACCCCCCTATCACTGAGTGGTCCTGGTTTAAGACCTCTGACTCAGGGAACCAGGTGAGGGCTGTGGTAGGAACATGGGTTCTGAACACGGGACAGCAAAAGAGGGTCCAGGGCTCCAGGAAAGGGAAGGCTGTGGGAGACACAGTACTTCAGGGTGGGGAAGGGGACAATGACATGGGGCTATAATGGGACATGAGGCTTCAGGGATGGCTGGCAAAAAGGGTCGTGGAGGGGTATTGTGGGGCTCCTGGAACAGTAAGGAAAAGGCTGTGGCAGGACATGACGAGCCCCTCTTCCCCAGCTGATCACCAATAGCTCTGACAGCAAGTACGTCGTGACATTCACAGCTGAGAAATCAGAGCTGGCCATCAGCAACCTTGACATAAATAGCGACCCTGGTACCTACATGTGTAATGCCACCAACGCCCAGGGCAGTGTCCAGGAGAAAATGACACTGCGTGTGCGAAGCCGGCTGGCTGCCCTCTGGCCCTTCCTGGGCATCGTGGCTGAGGTCCTGGTATTGGTCACTATCATCTTCATTTATGAGAAGCGACGGAAGCCGGACCAGTCCCTGGACGGTGAGCATCCCTGGGTCTGGGTGAGTGGGTGGGACACCCTCATTGTGTCCACCTAGGGGAGAAACATAGTCTGCTCATAGCTCCTCCTTTCTCCTCCTTCACTTGGCCACAGCTGGTATCTTCTGTTGTGAGCTCTCCTTTGTATCTTGGGCAGCAGCTGTATGGGGCTATGGGTGCCTCCAGCTGTGGGCTGCATGGCGAGCGTGGGGTTTGGGGTGTGTTGGCCTTGCCATGTGCCAGTCACCAAGTGCATGACATCTGTGCAGCTCCTTGTGGGTGGCAGTGTGGGGCAAGGTTCAGGCCAGCCAGACTGAGGGAGGGAGCGGGGCTGGAAGAGCCTTAGTGGGTGCTGACGCCTGTCCTTTTTTTCTCATGTGGCTGCTCATCATCGCAGAGGATGACCCTGGTGCTGCTCCACTGTAAGTCAGTCCAACTCACTGTGGGCCCCAGGGAGGTGCTGTTGTCCTGTAGAAATGGGGGGGTGTGTGTCCAGCATTCATTGTGTGCATCCGTCTTTCATGGACTCAGTGGGCTCAGGGAAGGCCAACTTGCAGACTCTCCTTCCAGTGGGGTTGAGGCCAGTCCTGAGCCTCTGAGAGTGCTAAACCCTTTTCTGTGTTCTCAGGAAGGGCAGCGGTCATCACATGAATGACAAGGACAAGAGTGTACGCCAGAGGAACGCCACTTGAGTGGCGGAGCAGGTGGGGTGGGGGGGGGGCACCTGGGCGCCTAACCCCAGCCCAGCATCTACCTCCACTCCCATCTTGTCCCATCCTGTCCCAACCCACGCCCACCCACCCCAACCTGCTATCCCAACCTGGGTGAAGACAGAGCCTCACCTTGCAGAAGCCCACCTGGAAGAAGCAAGCTGCCTGCAACACCCGTTTCTAGTGCAGAGAATCTGTTGTTTTCATTTTTCCTTCCCTTTTTAATTGCGTCACTACAGCCCTGTAGAATGGGGGAGTAGGGCCTTGTCCAGAGGCCAGGCCAAACTCTGACTTATTGGTGGGGGGGGGCACCACCTGCTCCCTTGTATGGGACTGCCCATCCCCACCATGGGCAACATGGCTGGGTCTGCTGGGACCTCACAAATAAAGACCTACCCCACCATGTTGTGTTCACTGTGTGGGGTCCCCAAAGCCCATCTTTATGGGAGAGTGAGTATTGAGATCAGGGCTTGGGATGTAGACATGAAGGATATCCGTAATTCTTTAAGTTTAATTTTCATTTTGATTTTTTGAGATAGGGTTTCTATGTGTATCTCTGGCTGTCCTGGAACTTGCTCTGTAGACCAGGCTGGCCTAGAACTCAGAGTTTCATCTGCCACTGCCTCCTGAGTGCTGGGATTAAAGGTGAATGCCACCACCCAACCATAAAGTTATTTTCACTGTTCATAACTGATTTTACTGCTGCTAGGGAATCATAATGTGGATATATGAAATGCCACCCCTGTGAAAGTGTCCTTTGACATGCAAAGGGGTTGAGAGCCACCGTGCCCTAAGGTGTTCAAGAAAACCTGGCCTCTTGAGGGCACTGTTGACCACTGCTGGTGTCCTATGTTGTCCTCTGGCCTAGTACTGATTCAACTGTTGGACACCCGCCTTCTAGGAAGTGTGCTGGGTCCACAGGATCAACAGGCAGCTTCAAGCCACGCTGGTTTTCAAGCTTAAGTTTTGAACATTAGTGGGGACAGGTGTGCATGTGGGGTGCTACTGCATAGTTTGGCTCCAGAGAGATGGGACCCTGCAGCCAGCTTTGGTCCCATCAGAGTATATCCCAGAGTTGGTGTTCAGGGGAGGCAGGGCCTCTTGGGCACTGGGAAGCCCTCTCTGCCTTTCAGCCACCAGATGGCACTGTGCCTGTGTCCACTGATAAGACCTGTGCCCCTCAGAACCAAGCAAATGGCTGGGATATCAGCAGGCGCACCTGCAACTGGATATGCCTGGGCACCTCACTGCTTTGAATCCCTTAGAACAGGATACAACATCCTAAGGCAGAGTCAGCCCTGCCTATGGTGTACCTGGGGCTCTCTTCATAAAGCAACCCCCCACTCACACAATTGCAGGTGCAGCCCCAGCCACCAGGCTTTTCCTCTGGAGCCCCAAGGTGGTCATTGAGGCTCTAAGCCTGTGGATCTTACATCCAGAAAGCATAGGGCAAGGTGAGGGCCTCATCTCCAGAGCAATACTCTAGGGGTCATATTTACAAGTCATCCAAGTATTTTCCCATACAACCAAAGCTTAGTGAGTATTGGCTGCTTCTCAGGACAGTATGGGAGTAAATGTTAATCCCTGTCCTGTGGCCTGCTCAGTTTCAGAGATGGGCACAGGGTCATCTTTGTCAAACATTTAAAACAATGTGGAACTGGCCTATGGGGTCCTCCCTGGGAACCATAGGGTCTCAGGAATCCCAGCCCCCAGCTGGCAGGCAGAGACAGGGCCTAGGGCCTTGGTAAAACAATGACTCATTGATGGAGCTGGACCCCAAGGGGACCCAGCAGCTGGCAGCTCGCTTCTGCTCCAGGCAGACATGGCTGCCAAGCTCTCCCTCTCTAGTTCCTGGTCCACTTCATCTGCCCAATCCTAGCCCATAAGGATGGTATACTGCTGGACAGGGGGGCCAGGCGGTCTTGCCTGGACCCCTCCATCCTACAACTAAGGAGGATCCCAAGGTCCAGGGAAGCCAAGCAGGATAGCACAGCTGAAGTTTGAGAAGGGGTCCCACTATGAACCAGATGTTCTATATCCCCACTGGGACCTGAAGGAGGAACACCTTGGCAAGCCTTGGGTGAACAACAGGCTGGTGTGATGCACACCTGGTCATCTCAGCACTCTGAAAGTGGAGACAGAAGAATCAGGAGTTCAAGATAACCCTCAGCTACATGCTGAGCAAAGTATGTAGCCACAGACACTCACACTCCCTGCTTAATGCGCAGATGACAGGGAAATTGAGACTACAGGAAGATGTGCAGTAGCCACCTAGGCTGTGTGTGGGTCAGAACCTGGGAGTCAATTCCTTTCCTGAGCCTTACCCTTAAGCCCAGGAAACTCACAGTCCAGACCCTGCCAGCCAAGGCTTAGTTCTGTCTCCATTCAAAACACCCAGAATCCTAAATATAAAATGACTGGTTAGTGCTTGGAGGGTAGACAGAGGGACTGGGGGTGAGGAAGATCAGAGAAAACTAAAGGAGACCCTTGGAGCAAATGATCTGATCTCTAGGGTCATCTGTTTGTTTTTCCAAAGGTGATGAGATTGGGGGAGGGCGGTTATAGGGCTGAGTGGAAATTAAAGGTGTGCACTACTACATTCGTCCATTGATTGATTGGCAGAGTCTCACCAGTTGGTCTGCAATTCACTATGTAGTTCAGTATGGTCTTAAATTGAGAGATCTATTCACCTTTGCCTTGAGTGCAAGAGCTGGGATTAAAGGCAGGGACCTCTATACCTGACACAAAACAAATTGGAGGAGGAGAAAAAAAAAAAAGTGAAGAGGGCTGAGTGCCTTAACAGCATTTATTGCTCTTGCAGGGACCCTGGATTTGGTTCCCAGTATCTGCATGGTGACAAACAATCCATAGCTCCAAGCAACTCCAGCTCCAGGGAATCCAACATTCTCCTCTGGCTTCATGCTTGCACATTGTACACATACATGTATGCACATCAAATAGATAAATATATTTAAAAAACAAAAAGCTAATTAAATAAGGTGGACAGCTCCTGAGGAATGGCACCCGAGATTGACCTCTGGTTTATACACACACACACAAATTCACAGTCCAATCTGAGACTGCAGCCCTGAGTCAGATACTTACTGAATATTGCAAAAACACTGGGGCAGGTGTGAGAATATGTCTGCAGAGAGCCGGCAGTCAGGTCCAGTTCCTACTCATTACAGACACCTGACCCACAACAGAGCATCAAGACCTCCTAGGGCAGACACAGACCAAGATCCCTGAGTCCTAGCATGCTCTGTGACCCCTGGGCTGGCAAAACAGTTTACTGGTATGTTAGGTCCTCTAACAGCCTGCAGCCAGGCTGCCTCCTCCCCTGCATTCAGCCACAAGCCCTGGAGCTCTGGCAACCTGCCCAACTGACATCTTCCCAGGGTGAACATAAAAGATCCCCCTTCATCTGGAACAGGCATGTTTCCTGGGGCGGACCACAGCCTGGCACTGTCAACTCTGGTGTTCAAATGTGGAGGCCAGAGGGGTGGTAGGGGGCGTCTCTGGAGTCCCCAGGGTTGGGGCAGCCCATCTGTGTCAGATGAGGACATGTAGCTGGCACAGCATACCCCTGACACTACCGAACACCTACTGTGAGCAGCCACAAGTCATAGCTTCATCCTATGACATTCAGGCCAGAAATGGTGAAGGCTGGAGGGACCTTGAGGACCCATGAAGGACCAGAGGGTTCAAGAGAACATAGGAAGGACTAGGAAGACCTAAGGGGTCAGGAGGGGACCCAGAAGCATCAGGAGAGTCTAAGAGGGGCCAGGGAGCTTAAACGTGAACTTAGGTGGAACAAGGGAAATGAGATGTAGGGGGAGGAGGCAGGAGAATCTAAGGGGCCTAGAAGAGTCTGCAGCATAAGAACTGTCTTCTTACCAATTCCCAGCTAACTTTTCCCTGGGTTGCCGCCCCACCCCCACCCTCCTAACAAAATCCTTTCCACTCTGTGAAGATGGGTGGGTACCTAGAGCTAGGTCTGGTGTCACCTGGCACATTGGCTGAGGCTACAGCTTAGGACCCCCCCCCAGAAGCCAAAGTCTCCCCAGAGCTGGGGTAGAGGGTATAGACTGTAGCTGAGGCTTAATTAAGTCAAGGGGATAGAGAAGGGCTCCGTGGAGGGCAGGGGGATCAAGACAGAAGTTGAGCCTGGATCCCCTGGAGACCTCTAAGGATCGCCATACCTGGGATCCCTCACTATGCTGAAGGGCACCTTTTGGGGACGAGGTCGCCAGAAGCCACAGGAGGTTCTATCTACTATGCTTTTGTTGCCGGACTTTGCCTCGGTTTCCCCAGAAGCAGGGCTTCGAGGGACTGAACTTAGATCCCAGAATGATCTCAGTCCTTCCCACACATATTGTAGATTTCTGTAGCGAAGGTGGTGAAAGCGACAGAGCCAGGGATCTGGTGGCCTCCGGGAACACACTTTTATTATGGAATCTGGCACCTTGAGCCGAGAAAGGGTTGCCACCTGCAGACTTAGCGTCAGCGGTTGCCCCGCCCGCGGTGTCCTGGGGACCGGGGAGGGAGCCCCAGAGCTGACCAGGGCCTGGTCTGCATCGCGCGCAGAGGCAGGGTCTGGCAGGCTGTGCTGGGTGACCTTGGGTGCGTCCTTGGCCTCAGTTTCCCCTGGGGAACCAAGTCTGAGCGCACTTCCAAGGTCTCGGGGAGCTGACTGGCCTTGAGCCTGCCTGCTGACGCTAGCCTTAGTTTCCCCATCCATCCCCGTGTGGGGGTGGGGGTAGCGCAGGTGGAGGCGGGGCTCCCGCCCCCGCCCCTCCCCCGCGAGAAAGAGGCCCCGCCCCTGACTCCGCCCTCCCTTGGGCTCGGCCGGCGGCGGCGGCGGCCGCTCCGCTCCGCACTGCCCGGCGCCGCCTCGCCATGGATGCGCGCGGGGGCGGCGGGCGGCCCGGCGACAGTCCGGGCGCGACCCCCGCTCCAGGGCCGCCGCCGCCGCCCGCGCCCCCTCAGCCTCAGCCACCACCCGCGCCACCTCCGAACCCTACGACCCCCTCACACCCGGAGCCGGTGGACGAGCCCGGCCCTCGCGCTCGGCTCTGCAGCCGTGACAGCTCCTGCACCCCCAGCGCGGCCAAGGGCGGCGCGAATGGCGAGTGCGGGCGCGGGGAGCCGCAGTGCAGCCCCGAGGGCCCCGCGCGCGGCCCCAAGGTGTCGTTCTCATGCCGCGGGGCGGCTTCGGGGCCCGCGGCGGCCGAGGAGGCGGGCAGCGAAGAGGCGGGCCCGGCGGGCGAGCCGCGCGGCAGCCAGGCCAGTTTCCTGCAGCGCCAATTTGGGGCTCTTCTGCAGCCCGGCGTCAACAAGTTCTCCCTGCGGATGTTCGGCAGCCAGAAGGCCGTGGAGCGCGAGCAGGAGCGCGTGAAGTCG